ATCCTCTGCTCTTTAACCTCCGTCTGGCGTTGCTTTACAGCTTCTATCATCCCAGCGGAAACCAAATCTAATGCCTCAGATTGCTGCTCAACTTCCTTGCCACTCAGAGATTTCCGACCAGATGAGGTTGAGCCTGCACCCAGGACCGAAGTATAAAAGTCTCTAGCTTTGTCAACTGTGTTCAATCTGTAGCGTGTCCCAGCATGGCTCAAAACAATACCCATCGGAATTTCCCATCTAAATGGCATCGATCTAGCTTTAAGCTCATTGGTTAAAAAAGCAAAGTCTTTCCTGCTTCTTAAAATTTTGGATGGGATTTCCTTTAGAATGATGACATCTTGGGCAGCAATCTGAAATCTTTTATTGTAAAAAGCTTGTATAATCTCATTCCGCAGGGACTTCTTTGTAAAATAAATCACCACATCTCTAGGCAAGTTCTTCTGCTTAGCAATCCAAGAGTTGAGCCTATAAATTTTTTCCACTTCTCTCTGTAATTCTCCTTTATCCATATCCAAGGCCAGCGCCAGATCAGTAAGGACCACCTCCACCAGATCTTGATTCACATCTTCCTTGAGGCCTCTGATCCTCAGGGCATACTCCATTTGTCTGTACTGAAACATCAAAATATCTTCTTGTGAGGAGTCCACCTTCCTTTCCACATCTTGAATTTTGTCATCCAAAGAGTCAACTTTGTCTTCCACTTCCTCAAGCCTTGCATCGAGCTTAACCACCACAGTAGCCAAACCTGAAACAGCTGCCAGTATATCTTGTCGTAATTCATTATTGTTTTCTTGCAATTTAGTCTTTATCCCCGTTATCTCTTCTTTGAGATCAGATTTAATTTCTGATTTAATCTGTGAGACAAATTGATTCATTTCCTCTCTCATTTGAACTACAATCTCTCCCATTATGCCTCTAACCTCTTGTGCTGAAAGTCCAGATAGAGGAGGGGAGGGTGGTGGCTGAGCCGGTGGTACATGTTTAGATTGTTGTTGTAGCTGTGCAGTGGAAGTTATAGGAGAAGAAATAACCTTGGGTATTGAGGAAGGCTGCTGCCTCTTTGAAGCCATTTTAAAAAGCACAATTGTCACTTCCCTTTCCCCTCCAGCCAGGAAGGGAGGAGGGAAAAAAAAGAAAAAATTTTTTAAAAAGAGACAAACTATAGTCCTTGAAAGTCCAGAGTAAATCCAAAGAATAAAAAATAAAAGAGCAAACAATTCAAAAGAAAAAATTCTAAGCCAAAAGCAAAAGTAAAAGCAAAAACCAGTCCTTAAAAAGGGAAAGTAAAACAAAAGAGAAAGGAAAAAAAAACTCCGACACTTTCAAAGCGCCATCTTAAATCCTTTCACTAATATAACAAAAAAAGGAGGAATAATAGTAGAAATCAAAAAATAAAAAAAATAAACACCTAAATTATAACAAAAAATCCTTTAAACTGCTCCGTCCGTTTAAAAATTACTCACCAGAATGCTATAAACACGGAGATAGAAGCGGCGGTTTCTTTTGCTTCCTAGGAAGCAAAAACAGCTGGGAGGCGGAGATCAGCAGGAGCTCCGAGGGAACACTCCTTTCACCCCCTCTAGAAACAAATCCAGAGGGGGTTCAGGGGTTCTACCTCTATCCCTGCACTCTCTGTCCCTTCCCTTTGCCCGGGAAGGGATTTCCGAGCCGCGGGCCAGCTGATGCACGCTGCGCTCCGCGGCTCTGACACTTCCCCAGCTGGACGGCTAAAAGCTAGCCGCCATCGCCGTCGCCTCACACCGGAAGCTCATGGCAGGATATTAACAGAGTGGGCCTAGCAGGCCAGGAAGCCTTTCTGAGGGGTTTTGCGGTTCCAAAATGGCGGCCGCAACTTGCAAATCCTTCAAAATTGCAGCCGCGCCAAAAATAACAGCCGTCTGTGAGACGGCCGGGCCTTCCCTGTCCAGGGGAACCTCAAAGGGGCTATTAAGAGTCTTTTGGGCCTATCTACTCCCACTGAGGCCGAAAACAAATGACTTGCAGTTTGGAGTGTTGCGCAGCCTCCGCTGCGATCCGGATCGCCGTCTGGATGATTCGCGGCAAAACGGGCTCTGCTGAGGCCGTCTGGCCTCCCAAGGGGATCGCTCAGCTGGAAGGAAGATCTGGAGAAATGCCTTTTGCGTTGATATTGGAGGCCTGTGAATTCGAGGAAGGAAGCTTGGGTGGAGCCTGCAAGGCTCGCTAGAACCGAGGTTGCAGTCAGCTGCCAGTTATACAATTTGGAACCGAATTGACCAGTAAGACTAATATTTAATTTGGATTACTAAATAATTAATTTAATTAGTAACTAATATTTAACCTAATCTAGTTTTCCGAGGAGCCAAAAAAACTGTGTCCTGCTGAGCTAAGACTAAGGCAAAAACTGGGAAGGTCCAGTCCAAAAGGAGGCATGGCAGATTTCTGACTTAATCTCAATTGAGCAGGAAGGCTGAGATTACCCACCTGTGGATTCTACACTCATCGTGCTGGAGAATGAATCTTCGCCCTCACAGGTGCATAATTCCAATCAGAGGCCAAATTTATCATTATATGGGATGTTGCAAGCTTTATTCAAAAAACAGACAGGAATATCTGTATATCTTTTAGCAAAATCAAAAAACAAAACAGATTGAATTTCTTTGCTCACCAGTAGATGGTGGTACAATACTCAGTAAGAGTTTCAATACTGATAATTTGATTTTAATCTCAAATTGGACTAAGAAGCTTGTACATACATTTCTGGGAAGAGAGGACAAATTGAAGTTTTCTGTTTCTCAGTAAGCTATCAGTATTATAGTATCATAATAATAAAATATAGTTTATTTTAGAAATATAAAGGAAGTTTAGAAGAGTGTTCATGAACAGGAATTGGGAAAAAGTAATGTAAAGAGAAATTACCTTTTCCCAACTCCTATTCATCTACACTCTTCCAGACTTCCTTTATTTTTTTGTAAAAAGATTGGATTTGGGGTGCATCCAATTCTCTTGTTGAACTGCATGCGGCTCAGTGATTACTCCGTTTGCATTGGTTTGCAAAGGTTAAAGCAATAGCAATAAGATTTACATACCGCTTCACAGTGCTTTGCAGCCCTCTCTAAGCGGTTTACAGAGTCAGCATATTGCCCCCAATAATCTGGGTCCTCATTTTACCAACCTCAGAAGGATGGAAGGCTAGTCAATGAGCCTGCAGTACTGCATTCTAACCACTATGCTACCATGACTCCTATCATGTTTCCCTGAAAATAAGAGCAGGTCTTATTTTTTTCCTCCAAAAGAGGCACCAGGTCTTATTTGGGGGGTCTTTTCCACTCACCTCGGGGAACTGACAGCCCCACCCAGCTGGCCCACTTCTTCTGCGGCTGAAGGAGCAGCTCCATTCTGCAGCTGAGAATGAGGCTCCGCTCTGTATTTCGCAGTCAAAGGCTGCAATGGCCTTCTGGAAAGGCCTCTGACTACGAAATGCAGGCCTGGGGATGACGCAGAAGAAGTGGGCCGGCGAGGAGAGGCCTGGCTGCAAGGTAAGTGGGTATGGAGCGCCTGGGGCAGCTCCACACCCCTTCTTGATTTTTAGGTGTGTGCCTCATCCCCAAACTAGGGCCTATTTTTGGAGTAGAGCTTATATTAGGTCCAATCCCAAAAATCAAGCTAAGGCTTATTTTCGGATAGGTCTACTTTTGAGGAAATACAGTAGCAATCCTTTTTGGACTTTCTGTTCGCACCAGGACTGAAAAGATGTGTAATGGATTTCTTTATAAATAAAAGATGGGATATTAGATGAAGAGATAAATGTTGCAAACGTAAAGGGGTGAAGAGTTACTAAATTTGTTTATACTTTTGATGAATGTTGGATTTATTTATTTATGTATTTCTTTTCTTACTTTTTTGTTCTCTCTTTTTTTTTTCCTTATACTTGCCATAGGCTAAATAAATAAATAAATTTCTTTGTACTTGTTACTCTTTCCTGTCTTTGTTTGGTTTACATTATATTTTATAAATATAATCAAAATTCTTAATAAAAATGTACAGTATACACAGAGACAAATGCACTAGATAATCCATGCCTGATTGGATCATAGTTTCAGGGATACATTTTTACCAGATTCCTCAATGCCTTCAACACAGAGCTTCTAATATACTGACTTCACTGGAAAAATTGGGATACATTCGAAGATGTATCTGCCTTGAAAATAGCCCATATTGAACAGTATAGCACAAACATCACCACAGCAAATTTTAATGAAATTTTCTATGGTATAAACAGATTTGTGATTATGTCATGATTATGTTTAGATCATTTTTTAAAAATCAAAATTGGCCAAATTTCAATACATGGGAGTCATTGGATGCATTCTATAAGATTTTGGATGCATTCTCTAAATTTGCCCATGTTTGTTCAAAGCATTACTGCATTCATTGTTATAGAAATGGCTAGAATATATTATTATTTAAAAGTAAACAGTTGAGGCTATATGTTGTTATCTTATTCTACTCCGCTAAAAAGTCAGAAGTTAAAGTTTTTCTTTCTTTTTTCCCTTTTACCCTGCACTTTTTTCCTCTTCCACTTTTCTTCCCCTATTTTCCCATTATTTTTTTCTTTGTATTTTGATAGGCCTACTTTGGCAGACAAATATATTCCTGAAGAATTCTCATGAAAACTTAACTTTAATTCTAAAATTGTGTCACAAATGCTCTCTGAGGTTGTTTTTGTTTTCCATAACTAGGATTGACGTTTGTTGAATACTTTACTCTGTCTAGTGTTATACTCTACATATAAGGAGGATTAGAATCAAAGTCTATTTTTTCCTGCCTATTTTTACAAGAGTTAGAGAGATTTTCTTTCCAGCTTTCAGGAGAGAAATAAGGTCTTTCATATTGTAGATGTGCATGTTACATCTCATTCTAAATTTTGTGTGTGTGTTGATATAGGAAATTTGTTTTAAAATATATCAGTGAAAAGTAATTGTGTAGGGTATTAATTGTGTGTTTCTGTTTTCTTTTAGAAAATATCCTTATAATTTCTGTGCCCAGATATGGAATCAATTTCTATGATGGGAAGTCCTAAAGTCTTAAATGAAACTTTCTTACCAAATGGTAGAAATTACATCAAGAACACCAGTAAGCTTACAATTGGCATAATTGGAAGTGGGGACTTCGCTAAATCCTTGACAACTAGGCTTATCAAGTGTGGGTTTCATGTGGTAATAGGAAGCAGAAACCCTAAATTTGTGGCGGAATTCTTTCCCCATGTTGTTGATGTCACTCATCATGAAGATGCTATAGCAAAAGCAAACATAATTTTTATTGCTATACGCAGAGAACACTATGCAGCTTTGTGGGAACTCAAACATCTACTTGTTGGTAAAATCCTTGTAGATGTCAGCAACAACATGAAAATTAATCAGTATCCAGAAGCCAATGCGGAGTACCTGGCATCCCTTTTCCCAGATTCCTTTGTTGTTAAAGGGTTCAATGTTATTTCAGCATGGGCACTACAAGTAGGACCAAAAGATGCAAGCAGACAGGTAAGTTATGCATTTCAGCATTTAAAACAACGAAAATGATACCTAACTATCAAGTACAAACATGAGAAACCTCTTGAAACCTCTGCTACAAAATGCTGTAATTTTTCATATGAGAGTACCTAAAAATGAAGTGAGATTATTTCTCATCTTCATAGTATAGCAGCTTCAGCATTCATTTTTATCAGGAGGCAGAGGAGAGTTTCAGATTGAGAGCCTCATTTGGTCTTTGGTTGGCTCATCAATCTACAATCAAAAGTGGATAAGTCCAGAGCAAAAGACGGTTGGACAACATGCCTTCAATTTAAATAAAACTAAAGTAAGTATAATTAATGCGGCTAGACTTGTTTGAAAATAATTTAGAAGAAACGTTTTGGATCATGCATAAATACAGCACATACAGTATTTGCTATACATTACTGTAAAGCATGTAAATTTTTTTGTGCTTTTGTAGCAGTCTGAAAAAAGATGTTCTGCTTTAAGAGCAAGATACTTTTTTGAAACTATTTTAATTATTCACCGGTTTACTGGTCATGTTGCATGTATTTAATAACTTGCATTTAGTATCAATATTTGGTGGAGCTCAAAGGCATGTATCTAAGATTTGGGGAATTGTATACGGTCCTGGGCAATATATTTTGCATCCTTGATTCATATAACATGAAATAAAGATAAAAATAAAATATCGATAAAATAATTACAAATGCCTTTGTAAATTGTGAGGTGTGCTAGGAAAAATGAGTTAAAGATAATTGCAGGAAGTCTCATACATACCCTACATACATACCCTAGTTTGACTAGTCCATGTAGTTATTGATTGTTTGTTTATTTTAGGTTTACATATGCAGTAACAACATTCAAGCTCGAAATCAAGTTATTGAACTTGTTCGTCAGCTCAGTTTTATTCCTGTTGATTTGGGCTCTTTATCATCTGCAAGGGAGATTGAAAATTTACCTCTTCAATTGTTCACCCTGTGGAAAGGACCAGTTATAGTGGCTGTTGGCCTAGCCACCTTCTTTTTTATCTATTCTTTTATTAGAGATGTAATACACCCTTACGTGAGAAATCACCAGAGTGATTTTTATAAGATTCCTATTGAGATTGTGAACAAGACATTGCCAGTTGTTGCAATTACTTTATTATCTCTAGTGTATTTATCAGGGCTCTTGGCAGCTGTTTATCAACTTTATTATGGCACTAAATACAAATTGTTTCCATCCTGGTTAGAAAACTGGCTGCAATGTAGAAAACAGCTTGGATTACTTAGTTTTTTCTTTGCAACAGTTCATGTTGTTTACAGCCTCTGCCTGCCTATGAGGAGGTCAGAACGATACCTGTTTTTAAATACAGCTTATCAACAGGTAAGAAAAACATCATTTTTGGGTCAGGTAATTCAGAACACCCCGATATTGCTGCATGTGTGATTTTTAATTTGAGCTGTGTTGATCATTGCTTAGACATTTCTTCCTGCATGAAAGAAACATTCAATTATGGTTTTTAAATGTGTTAACATTTTATACTATGTATAGTCACCTAATTATGTAGTGATGAATAATAATATATATAATATTATTTATTTCTTTTTAAAAAAATTGATTTAGCTTCAATAATGTTCATCTTCTTGTTTCTGGAAACTGCTCACCACTCTCCAAATGATCGATTTAGAGCTATAAACAAACTATTCAGAAAAAGAGGAATTACAATTGATTTCTTTTTTTTTATTGAAAAGTTTTATACAAGTTTTTAACAATATCCCCCTCTAGAATAACCCCCTCCCTCCCCCCCTCACTTCCCAGAGCTGGTTACAGGGTTACAAATAAACAAGTAAATTCTAAATAAACTTATCCAACTATACAAATAACAAAATCAATAATGTGCTTTAACTCGAATACAAAACAAATTTAAGCAAATTTTTAAAAAAACAAAAATAACAATATAAGCAATTCCAAATTAAAAACTAAAAATTATTCATAATCTAAATAGTATTTTTAATCCCATATCAATTCTAATCATAATTTATCCATTAAATCCCATATTTACTCTACATGTAATTTATCCATCTTCTCCACGCTGAAGTGTATATTTCTTTTAAAAACCATTCATCCATAATAAACACAAGATTTTCCCTCCAATATAACCTCACCAACAAACTTACATTCAATAAACTTGGCTCTTTACTTTTTTTCCTCCCTAACCTTAAGTAAATTTATTAATACCCTCCTACTTAAAAAATTTTAGCAAACCATTCATCTTAATCACTAAAATTCTCACCAACAGAGATCATTAGAATTTAAATTCTTTTACACCTTTACCCATAATATCTCATAATTATTTTTATACATTTTAAATTAAAAAAATTATAATATATACTCCCAAATATTTAAACTTTTGCACTAAATCAACACCTTCTATTATTCTTTTTCTTTACATCTACACACTACACAAGTCATTCACTATTCCTTTAAAACATACTAAATCAAACTACCAGCTAAACTAACATTTATTGTTCTTTTTCTTTACATCTACATATTACACAAATCATTCACTATTCCTTTAAAACATCTTCTATCTCAAAAAACTACTACAAAAGTTCATCATTTCCTTTTCTTTATTCCAACATCCACCTTCTGCTGTTCTTTTTCTTTACGTCTATAGGCTGCACGAGTCCTTCTAGGTTTCTTTAAAAAATCTTCTGTCACGAGACTGCTACAAAGGTTCAGCCTGTATGTCTCCTACATCAACCGGCTACTCTTCCAACTTTTCTTCTATTATCTCAGGTCATGAACATAATGGAGAGCCCTCCTTTAAAACAGAAGTGTAAAAATCTTTCGCCTTTGAAATTGTATTAAGTCTATAATATATCCCCGCATAATTCACCACTATTCCAGCCAGTATCTCCCATCTGAACCGGACCTGTCGTTTTTTGAGCTTGTCAGCAAAAAAGGCAAAATCCTTTCTTTTTCTAAGAATTTTTGAAGGTATTTCTTTTAAAATTATAACATCTTGAGCTGCGATTTGAAATCTCTGCTTATAAAAAGCCTGTAAAATTTCATTACAAAGTGATTTCCTAGAAAAATAAATAACCACATCTCATGGCAAATTCCTCTGCCTCGCAACCCTTGAATTAACCCTAAAAACTTTTTCCATCTCTCTCAGTATTTCTTCAGGCTCAGCCCCCAAAATAAAAGCTATATATTTTGCCACCACTTGTCTCAAATCCTCTTGCATGTTTTCCTTCATTCCCCTTATTCTTAAAGAAATTCCTTGTCTCTATATTGTAACATAGTAATTTCATCTTGTATTATTTCCACCTTATTTTCTACTTTGTCAATTCGATCTTCCAGTTTTTCAAAATTTTCCACAGCATCATCAATACGATCATCCAGACGCTGTATATGACCAATGAACTTTTGAAATGCAAACAGTATGTCCTTTCTCATTTCTCTGATTTTATTTTCAAAAAATTCCTCCATCTCTTCTTTAATCTGTCGTACCATATTTCCCAAGGCATCCTGTAAATCTTTAAGTGTACATGCTGATGACGATGGAGAAAGTGGTGGTACCTTAAACTTAGCTTGCTGAGCTGTCTGCATTACCGGGAAGATCGAGGCTTTAGAAACAACAGAAGCTCCGAGACGCTTTGAAGCCATTTTATTTTTAAAGACCATTTATTAAAAAGTCTGCTAAAATCTTATAAAATCAACAAATACCAAAGAAAAAAAGGGGAGGAAAAAAGACAAAAGCCCCCTTAAAAGAAAAAAAGAAGATTCTTGCATTTTATATAAATACAAAATCTGTTACATTGTTCCAAATAGAAGTTCCGGTCCTTTCACTCAAAGAATCAACATCTCAGCGCCATTTTTCACCACTCTTAATTGAAAAAAAGGAGAAGATAAATTCTTTTCCAGAGTTAAAGTCTCAAAATAATCACCATTTTAATCTCTTCTGGTCAGCTCTGTCTGCTTTAAATTTTACTCACAAATTCATTTTAAGCGCAGATATGGAAGCAGCGTCTAGCTTTGCCCTGAAGAAAAATCAAGGCATAGGCATCCTGGAATGTGGAAAACACCTCAGACTCCGTGGGAGCTCTCACCCTCCGACCACCAAAAAAAAACTTTGGGGTCTCGGGGAGCTCTACCACTATCTGAGGAAAGCTCACCTCCTCCCCTTCTCCCGGGGAGAGAGGTTCCGAGCCGCGAGACAGCTGTTGCTCGCTGTCTCAGCAGGCTTTGACACATCCCAGGGCGGATGGCTAAAAAAACCTGCCATCGGCGCGGCCGTCACCACCGGAAGTTCCACAATTGATTTCTTAATTTGCATAATTTTTTATTCTTCTAAACAAAGAAGGGTCAGATCTACCAAAGTTTCTAAAGTCTTCTTTTTTAATGAACTCTCTCTCGTTTTTGCTCCCATTCATGATAGTTCACCAGGTACACTTTAAAACTCATCGGATATTCTAGTTAATTTTCAAGAATTTTCGGTATATGTGTTAAAAATGTTAAAGATTCCGTAACCTCTTTCTCCAGGTCCATGAAAATATTGAAAATTCCTGGAATGAGGAAGAAGTATGGCGAATTGAAATGTATGTCTCTTTTGGAATAATGAGCCTTGGGCTGCTATCTCTGTTGGCTGTGACTTCCATTCCATCAGTAAATAGATCATTAAATTGGAGGGAATTCAGTTTTATTCAGGTGTGTACTGTACTGAAATACTAAGTCTAATCTAGCACAAATCTTTAGTAGGCATTCAGTATTGAAAGGTTCAGGTTTTTACAATCTGTAATATTTTTTAAAAAAAATAGTACCACTATAGGGCTTATACAAACGCTACAAAAAGTGCATCTCATTAATTATCCTATCACAATTCCCAAAGACCTCCATGATGTATGGGAGAAGAAAAACTTCAGTCTTTTGTGTATTTGAGAGTAGGAGGGTATTAGAATTTTAAGAGTTCATATGAATCTTTCAAAAGTTGCGATGGCTTAAGATAATCACCTCTTCCTTTAGTAAAACTCACTAAAATCACAGAAAAGGAGGGGGAGGAGTCTGATGAAAGCTGCAATGCGCTTAAGCAAAAAAATGTTCCATATTCCTTACAGTAGCATCTGCATGTGAGGGAATCAAAATTGATGCAAGCTCCACTAATTTTAATATTTTTTGTAGATGTCAAAGATTTTTAACTTCCTCCCACCATGTTATTTATATCATTTTAAAAAACATTCACAATTCCATTACAGTGTCCTGATATCACAAATCATAGTTCAACCAAGAGCTGTGGTGGCATAGTGGTTAGAATGCAGGACTGCAGGCTACTTCTGCTGACTGTTGGCTGCCAGCAGTTCGGCAGTTCAATTCTCACCAGCTCAAGGTTGACTCAGCCTTCCACCCTTCCGAGGTCGGTAAAAGGAGAACCCAGATTGTTGGGGGCAATATGCTGACTCTGTAAACTACTTAGAGAGGGCTGTAAAGAACTGTGGAGCAGTATATAAATCTAAGTTCTATTGCTATTGCTGTTCCAAATACATTTTAGGAATACATAAAAATTATACATGGAAGATATCTGCTGATTTATATATTATTTATTGATTTGTTTCCTTGCTTGTTTTGGGGGTCTTTATGTAAAACTATGCTACTATGGCATAAAACTATGCAATTTATTCAAATAAACAAACTCTGTTTCTAGTTTTGCTTTCTAACAGTAGAGCATATCTCATATTTTGTACTAGTCCAGTAAAAATTGAAAGGTCTTTCCAATGAGTGGTTCAATATTTAAGAGCTTTCCATTCATTTTTCTCCTTCTATTTATTAATTGTAAAAGTTAATTTGAGTATATATGTTTAAACCATATATAATATAGTTTAAGTTTTTATAAATAACTTTTAGCTATAAGTGCAAATCATCATGTCAGCATTTTAATTTTTATTTGTTTCTCATCTTCAAATCTCAAAGTCTACACTTGGATACGTCGCACTTCTCATAAGTACTTTCCATGTATTAATTTATGGATGGAAAAGAGCCTTTGAAGAAGAATGCTACAGATTTTACACACCACCAAATTTTGTTCTTGCGCTTGTTTTGCCTTGCATGGTAATTCTGGGTAAGGTAATTTTGCTTCTACCATGTATAAACAGGAAACTGAGAAAGATCAGAAGAGGATGGGAAAAAAGACAATTTATAGAAGATGGAAATGGATCCGATTCATATCCCTCACCAGAAAGAATTACAGTCATGTGATCATACAATGAAAATATTACCACAATATTTGTCCCTTTAAATGTCTGTACCTAATACTGTATAGGTTTTATTTTAGACTGAAATATCTCAGGCATTGTGATATTATCAGAATATAAGCAATACAGGCGAAGGCAGACACTGCATTTTCAGCATAATAGATAAAAACTACTATATTTTGAAGAATTTGATTTGTGGGATATTTAAGCCACTCCTGCCATTCCAAGATTAAGTTTTAAACAAATTTAGCAGATAACAAGTTCCACTGAATTCAGTAAACTTTATTCAGGATAAATCTCTTTTGAATGGATTTGCTTGCAACCAATTAGATATAGAGTCATTTAGCATACAAGACTCAATAAAGAGGCCTCAGAGCGACAATCACATATACTGTATACAGTCCTCTGAAAGTTGTCAGCAAATTATAATTACTTTTCGGATTTTTAATGCTATTAATGACAATTTTAAATTAATCAAATGTAAACCTTTTTATTCATTAACTTGTAAGTAAACAAATAAAACAGCATACAGCTATTCTGAAACCATGATTATAAATTCAATAAAACATAAATCACAGCTGGTAAATATATATCATTTATCCATTTAATACAGCTATAGCTAGTTCTCACCACTACTGCAGACTCCTAAGGACAATGGCACAAGTAAGGCCAGAAGAGTAGTTACCAATCTGAAGGCCAGAAGAGTAGTTACCAATCTAGGTTCCTTATTCTAGTCCTGCCTGTTCATTGGGCATGGTCTGTCATAAAGGCCAAATCTATTTCTTGGTTCAAACTAATGTAGAGCTATTTTAGATTTCAGCACTTCAAGAGATAAATTTACTATACCAACTTTTATCTATTTGCTCTTCTGCTTTCTGGCTTGCATTCTTAATGCTCTGATTAGTAAGCTAAAGATGAGATATATTTGATATCAGTATCTGATATCATTGGCAGTTGATATTACTGTTAGCCTTTAGATCCTCTGAAGTGTTTTTTCCCCTTGATCCAGCAATCTCTGGAGTCAAAAGTGTAGCTGAATCTAGCCATTATTTAAATTTCATATAGTATCCAAACCAAACATATTGGGAAATTATGGAAAATTAAAAAGTTAAGCAGTGCAACTGGATGGGAGCACTTCCACTGGATCCAGATAAGGCCACCCAAGTCCATCTCCTCCACTTAAAAGAAAGGAAAAATGAAAGTGCAGTTACCTGCTAAAATGAGAAATATAAAAGTGTACAATATGGTGGTTCTTCTATTTTGAATCTGGGACTTTCTTTGCCTCAAAACAGAGAAGTATATTCAAAAGTTTTTATTTGAAAATTTTAAGAAATCCATTATAGATTTAGTATTTACCGTATAACTTTGTTATAATTAAAAGCTATTAATTTCTTTTAAATGTAAAAACAAACAAACATTACTGTTGGTCAATAAAGGAAATGCCTAGTTATTAAGATTCAACCAAAAAGTGATAAATGTTGAATTCTCCAGGACTGTTCAGCAATCAACATATCTCCCATAGAGGGGATTAAAGCAGATACTTTTTAAAAAAAAAAAGCATAGTCAGGTGTTTTTGTCTCCCCTGTACCCCATAAATAGCATAGATTGAGAGTCAATAATCTCTGTGTTGGAGTCTTGGGAGTAAATGAGTAAATGCAAAAAAAAAAAAAAGCAAGCCCAGACAATTCCAAATACCTAACCCTAAACCTGACCTACACTGTGTTTTATGCAAGGAATAGCAGCCATTAATTTGTTTCTGAATGCTAAGTATAACCTAACATGCTTCATCCACAACTTCCATATTAGATCTATTTAATTACAGACATCTGGTCTTGTTTTTGGATTTTTTCACTTACCCCTTATTGTCTTATTGTAGGATTTTGTTAGAATTCTAAGAAAACTTGGTAAACTTAAACAATATTACGTAATATGTTGAATGGTACCTACCTATGGTTTTTGATATCTAAATTAGCCAAAGGATTGCTATTAGCAGATAGAATAAAGCAGAACTATGTGTGAAGCATCTAAACTAAGCTTAATGACGGCTGTTTAAACAATAACTGTTTCAATTATAAATATAGCAGGAAATATATGTAAATGTAGACTCAATCATCCAGGTCAAAAGCATGTAAAAAGGTTAAATCACGGCAACTGGATCAAAGTTTATTAAATTTAATAAACTTTATTATTACATTTATTCATTTTAATAAACTTTGGCCCAGTTGCCATGATTTAACTTTTTTACTTAGTAGGAAAAAAAATTGATTTTTGAGGGCAGCCAGCAATATATCCTATACTATGATGAATGTGATAATTTATTGAATTACCAAATATAACCCATATTTTCCATACATGCACACAAACATAAAATTTCACTCAGAACAACTGAAATATAATAAGTTTAGTTTAGGGAAGCATTTTCACAACTGTTATAGATAGTAAGGATACTATGAATGTAGAACATCTGATTGAAAGCTCTAACAAATTAATCAAATAGGATAGATCTAAAGTTTCCATTTACATCACTATATCACTAAATATTCCAAAGTAGAGATGCAAAAGTCTAATATTTATTCTCTTGATGTATAGATGCAGATCACTAGAATTCAGCAGCCATCATATTTACTTAATATACATCTTGATTATGATATAGTGACACATATAATAGATGGAAAAGTACCAATGTAAATTATCTTGCCTTAATTTTCAATAGTCATAGGCAATACCTCCTGGCATTCACTTACTGTATCTCCATCCTGAGAGCTTTTGAGTAAAATGAAGTATTCAAGTATAGCATTCGATTATCTTAACATAATTAAAAAGACTATATTCTTTGGAATACACCAAGGTACTGTTGGCTACCTGTAATGTTTCCTGTGATATTAATAGTATATTTTAAATTTATTGTGCTTTATTAAATGTGCTATTTATTGTGTTTTCATAAAAACACAGTCAGTTTCTACAATGAATCTGCTAAAATAAAATGTACATAAATGGATTAATATTAATTCCATTTTTGAAGCTTCACTTGTAGGTTTTTAAAACATTCAAATATCAAAATCTGGATCATTATTCTGTTTTTTGCTAACATGTTCCTTGCTCCACCAGTTAAGTATGTTCTGCTATTGCCATTTAAAGTCAGTGAAGATGCTGAAATGCACAGCCAAAATAAATGTTATTTGTTAAGTTCTTTAAAAATCTGAAGCAACCTTCTGTAATTTTATAGTACATCATCTGTGCAAATATTTTTCTAAGGAGAGTAACCAGGCAATCAACATTCAGTTGAGCTACAAAAAGTGGGCCCTGCATTAATGGGAAAATGTTAGGAAGAAAAAATAATGTAATACAGTCTATTGGGAAATTTTATCAGTATTGCAACTGCGGAAACAAAGATTAACCTTACTACCGTGTTTCCCTGAAAATAAGACCTGGTCTTACTTTCTTTTGGGCTCTGAAGTACTAGGTTTTAGTTTCAGGGAGGTACTTTTTGCTGGTACTAATGTCAGTAGGCCGCAAGTGCACAGAGGTGGGATGGGGCCTGTACATGGGGTGGAGAAGCAATGTGGTGGAGAGAGTATAGTACCAGATATAGTGCCGGTGCGGCCGTGGTGGGTGGTGGGAAAGGCACTGTGCCTGGCATGGGGTGAGTCGACCCAGATCCGGACTGCTGCCTCGCCACTGGCCTGCCAGGTCTCTTTGCCAGTGGCCACCGGTGGAACCATGCCGCCCACGCCTCTGTTTTTGGGCTGCTGAGCACCAGCCTGCACACCTACTTGGTGCTGCAGGCGCTGGGCTAAGGGCTGACCCTAGTGCTCTTCAGCCCTGCGAGCACTGCAGTTCTCATGCCAGCTAGGCGCTTTTGACCTCTACTGGCTGCTTCCGCTGGATTGCCTTCTGCCTGGCCGGCTGTTGCTGCTGCCACCATAAGGTCAGGAGTCGAGGCAGGTGGTGGTGGGTGGTGAAGTTGCTTCCCTCCACCTGCCAGACACCTTTCAAAGCCACGAATGGTAAGATTGCCGCCTTCTGCCACCCAGATGCCCTAGCCTCCCCCACTAACCTGCCTTTGAATTGCATTGTGTTTCTCTGTTGCTTCTCAGCCTTTGCCATTGTTTGTGGGGGGAAAAAAGTTCAATTAGACTTTCTAATCACAAGAAGTTAAAAAGTCTGATTGAACTTTTTTTTCTCCCACAAACACGCATGAAGGCTGAGAAGTGAACAGAGAAATGCAATGCAGCTGAAAGATTAGTAAAAAAAAATGCTTGGGGGAAGCTAGTGCATCTGGGGGGGGGCAGCAATCTTACACGGTTTTGGCAGGTGTCTGGCAGGTAGAGGAAAGCAACTCCACCGCCACCTGCCTTGATTCCTCACCTTATGGTGGCAGCAACAGCAGTCAGTCGGGCCGAAGGCAATGCGGCAGAAGCAGCCTGTAGAGGACAAAAGTGCCCAGCCAGCATGAGAGCTGCAGTGCCACCAGATCTGAAGAGCGCCAGGTTCAGCCCTTAGCCCAGCGCCTGCAGCACCAGGTAGGCATGCAGGCTGGCACTCAGCAGCCCAAAGATGGCGGCGTGGGTGGCACGGTTCCACCAGCAGCCACTACCGAACGGCTCTGGCAGGCAGCAGCCCAGCCGTGCAGCCCAGAGTAGCACAGCCAGGAGGGCAAAGAGCCCCACAAGGCCCAAAGCAGCACGGGAAGCCACTTGGCAGTCACATGGCACCTGATGTGGTCAAGAGGTATCCCAGCAGCAGTAGGGTCAGCAGGCAGGGCAGACGGAGTCTGGGGCTTGCCAAGGGTTTAGTTTGTTGTGGCCGCAGGCAAGCAGACGGATGGAGAAGTCGGGGCCAGCAGTGGCCACTGGTGAAGTGCCCTGGCAGGCCGGGGGCAGGGGGCGCTCTGGTGATTGCACATAAGATTTGGGCTGACTCGCTCCGCCCCGCGCTAGGCCTTACTTTTGGGGTAGGGTTTTTATTAGGCCCACCCTCAAAAAAATCAGCTGAGGACTACTTTTGGAATAGGGTTTACTTTCGGGGAAACACGGTATTCATTATCATCACGATTAAATAATGTACATTTAGTTTCTTTTCATCCTTTCTTAAATAATGGCAAAACACCAGGTGTATGTGAAAAATGTATTCACTGCTCACCATCATTTTGTATATTATTTTAGAATCAACAGACAGTGGAACACATATTATTTTGAATTATTTTCACACTTTACATTAGATTTGCAGTATTTAAATGCTTTTTGTAACAATTATTACATAGTAGATAATAAAATGTTTAAGTAACTTTTTTATCATTAAGAATCAGTACTTGTTTTCTAATATTTATAAGGCCAGCAAGAATAAAAAGCAACATTGATATTGCTATTATACCTATAGAATGGAAGTTTATATAAATGAGAGATAGGATTATTTAATTTGCTTTCTTCTGTTTTTATTAAAGCTGGACTGAATTTGTTAAATTCAGCAACATCTTTTTTCAAATTTAAGCAATTGCTGTGCTCACGTGATATCAAACACTTTGAATCATTGTTGATGGGTGTATAGCCATGCCTACTAGACTGGTACAGTTATTATATGAATGATATTAAATAGGAAACAGTAATTAACATAATTTTATATGGAACATAAAGGTCTAAACTCTTATAAACTGATTTGATTTTTTAAGAATATACTAACAGTCAAAACTCTAAAAAGTGGAAATGAAAAAATTATCCCAAACAATTAAACAAATCAATTTAAAGAGAAACTTTTAAATTCTTGTATTTACCAGCCATTTCTTGAATGATCTTTTTCTTCCTTTAGCCATGACTGACCTTGTATATGCTCTATGCTAAATTTCAGGTGGTTGTTTCAGCTCATCTTAAATTTTATCATATTTAGAATATTAGATGTTAAAATATTTTACTTTCATAGTTGTGCAATAGCAGGCTTGGCTTTAAACAACCTATTAATATAAGTGGATCATGACTAAGTCTGGGATAAGCTCAAACATCCTTATTTGTTCACAGTTTTCCTGCAATTTTATTAAATATATTTAAAAAATAAATTAGAAATATGGTGAAAAAGTACCAGAAAAGGTAACCTACAGAAACATAAGTAAACTATCACCAAAAATTCTAAACATTTATCATCCTAATTATATGATCTTATACTAAAACTATCCACATAAATTCCAATTGTTTTCTAATGTGAGCCACCAAACATTTTTTATTTTGTTGTTTCTGTTCTGTGAGTGGAATAGGTAAACCTGAGTAAATCCTCAACATAATACAAAGTACATGTAACAGTTATTAGTGCTGCCTCATGTTTGACCACTGTGTAATGTAAAATATCTATAGTCATTAACAGACATAACAGGAATTTTTTAGGGTTCATCAGACCAAAATGAAGATAAACATTTCTACTGTCCAAAGTCCATTAGGCATGGAGAGCTATAATAAATTTAAATAAATCAATACAATTCACAATGAAGGAAATTTCATCCATATAATTTTCAATAAAATTTATAATAAACTGTTGATCTCTTGCTCCCCAATAAGTACTTTATATTGCATTGAATTAAGTAATGCTGTCTTCTAAATAAATATACTTGGAATTAGATTGACTAGATTCTGTGAACTGTTTTCTAACTATCAGACTCCCACAAGGGAATTTATTATTATATGCCCAAAAAATATAAATACTTACACTATAAACCTTACTGCAAGTCCAGAATCTTTGATTAGTAACATATTGTACTCAGTTGCAAATGCTCTGAAAATATTTTAACACTATATCAGAAATTTTTAAGGAAAGTGTTCTTACAGAATTAAAAGCAGTTATTTTTCATATTAAAGAGAGATTATTGTATTTTAAATATAATTCCAAATAATAAACTTGTATTTTTAGATAAAATAGCCACACTGAAATATAATTTGCTACATAGAATTTACTGCATATTGACTGCAATTTTCAACCCACAAATGTACATTTTTATATGTATATGCCTTAAAAGCATGCAAAGTAACAGAAGGATTGCAACTCAATTTCTGCAGCTCAAAGTGAGTCTGTAATATGACTCTAAATTAACCAAAGTGTTCCTAGAATTAATACTTTTGCTAGATACTCAAATTTAATTGCCAGAATGTACATAAGTGTATGTTAATTATTAGAAACTGGTCCTGGTCCAAGTTTATTTACCACAATTTTTGACTACAGATGAGTTTTTGCTTAACAGAAAAACAGAGTTAGAAGGTACCTTGAAGATCTTCTAGTCCAACCCCCTGCTCAAGCAGGAAACTCTATACTGTTTCAGAAAATGGTTGTACGGTCTCTTCTTAATCTCTCTTCATTTCTTCTTATATGTTTCTTACTTTCTCTGTGCTCATTTTCTTATATTATGTGCTATTATAAGGCCTGTTAAGCAAATTTTGATTATATCTGACCTACCATTACCTTATAAGATTGTCAAGCCATATACTGATACTATAATTTGTAGCAAAATGACAGATTTATTATAACTTGTAAATTAGACTATAGAGTTTATTTTTTTCCATTTGGATCTAACAGAAATGTGTAGAAATTTTCCACTGTGCTGTGTGAAACGCAGGGAAGTATATAAGCAATTTAATATTAATACATTGCAGTATATTGTCTAAGATCATTGTTAAGCCAGGCCATTACACACACACACACACACACACACAACAGTCATTATCCAATATTATCAATGAAACTAGTATTATTGCCATATATTTTGAATTGAGTAAAAGCCATATAATAAATATAAATTGTTTATATATTTTTAGAAAACTTCAAGTATTTTTAATTTCTAAAAATATAACTTTTTTCTCATTACAATGCATTATAATATTCTAACGGAGATTAATGTATGTGTGATATTCAAAATAAAATTTCTATGCATAATCTAATCTATAACTAACTCTGAACTTTAATTTTTCATAGTTGTAATTGATTTGTTTCATTCTCTGTTTAAACTGTGTCTTGGTTAGTATTATTCAGCTTTTAATTGTACTGTTTATTGCATCTAGAGCAGGGTCCCCAACCTGTGGGCTGCACATGCATGCACTCACCCCCACACACTCACGCTAGTGCCTCCCCAAACATCCGCCTGCATAGCATCACCCTGCCCCAAGCATCCCACCACCATTGCCCCAAATATCTTGTCAGTGCTAGCACCACCCCCACCCCAAGCATTCCATCAGTGCTAACACTGCCCTGCCCCAAGTGTTCCCCCAGCACTAGTGCTGCCCATAGGGTCCTGTCAGTGCTAACGCCGCCCCATTTGCAGCACTCCCGTCCACACATCCCCATTTGCATATGCGCATACGTTCACATGCTGCTGTGTACATGCATTCACATACAGCCGTTTGCATGTGTGCACGCATGCATGCGGCCATTTACACTGGCACACAGCGGTGCTTGCTTTCCTTTCCGGGCCACCAAATCAAAAAGGTTGAAGACCTCTGATCTAGAGAGTACATTAGAGTTGAACTTATGTCATATAAATTGCTTTGTGATTCCACTGCATTTTAATATTTAGTGTCTAATTGACTGTACTTGTATATATTCTGAAATGTGTGCACATTCTTGAACAACTGTGTGATGTCACAATCATAATAAACTTCCTTGCAAAACAGATTTTACATGTTCAATTGAATTTTTAATTATTTACTATGGATTATATGATGTTCAATCAAATAATGTTGGAAGTAGTTTACTGCAACAAAAATGCAACATGAAAATACAACATCATATCAACGAAACACAGCAACATCATCCTAAGAGATAGCTACATCATCCACCTGATAGCAGAAAGGTTCCTATCATTATTTGGATGAAGATATAGATGGGAAACTCATCAAATCTGCAGACGACACCAAGCTGAGAGGAATAGCCAACACTCTAGAAGATAGGCTTAAGATAACAGAAGGATCTTGACAGACTTGAACATTGGGCGCTATGAAAAAAGTAATATTCTACATTTAGGCAAGAAAAATCAAATGTGCAGGTACAATATAGGCGGTATCTCCCTCAATAGTAGTAAAGTGAGAGGAATGTTGGAGTCCTCATGACAATCACTTAAATATGAGCCAACAGTGTGCTACAGGTGCCAAAAAAGCCAACACAGTTCTAGGCTGCAATAATAAGAGGTATAGAATCAAGATCACGTGAAGCATTAATATCACTTTATAATGCCTTGGTAAGACCACACTTGGAATAATGCTTCAGTTTTGGTCACCATGATGCAAAAAAGATGTTAAGACTCTAGAAAGTGCAGAGAAAAGCAACAAAGATGTCGGGACTGGAGGCTAAAACATATAAGGAACGGTTGCTGGAATTGGGTGCGTCTAGTTTAATGAAGAGAAGGATGAGGGGTGACATGATAGCACTGTTCCAATATCTCAGGGGCTGCCACAAAGAAGAGGGGGTCAAGCTATTCTCCAAAGCACCTAAGGGCAGGACAAGAAGCAATGGATTGAAACTAATCAAGGAGACAACCAACCTAGAACTAAGAAGAAATTTCCTGACAGAATAATTAATCAGTGGAACAACTTGCCTCCAGAAGTTGTGAATGCTCTGACACTGGAAGTTTTTAAAAAGAGATTGGATAATCATTTGTCTAAAATGGCATAGGATTTCCTGCCTCAGCAGGGGGTTGGACTAGAAGATCTCCAAGGTCCCTCCAACTCTGTTATTCTAATCTATTATTTTTCTGTTCTATGTTGCTCCATCCTTTAGAATACCAGTACCTTCTAAGTTTGAGAATTTTACAGGGTTAGCTAGATTTTATGGGGTAGAAGTGTTAAATTTGTTGATTGACATAAGGCTGTGGTTATAAAACAGAAATGTTCAGAGACATTCTAGGATGCACGAGGTCATGGAAGGAATTCTTGAATTCACCCTTTTAACAAGTTTCTTGTACTCCCTAAAGTTACAGCATGGTCATAGTAGATGCACAAATAGGAAGATCCTAATGCTGCTCACAAAGGTGAATGACCTCTGTAGATTAATGAATAATCATTAATCAATTACTACTCAGGCTACAGTGCTGAGCTAATCCAACATTAAGAATAAAAGCTGAAGAAATATGTCTGAAGTATCTTTTCCACTTCACTGAAGTTCAAAAGAATAGAATAGAGCTTGGAGATCTTCTAGTCCAGCTTAAGCAGGAAAACTTATAACATCTCAGACAAGTGACTGTCCAGTCTCTTCTTAAAAATTTCCAGTGATGGAGCGCCCACGATTTCTAATGATTATTCTATTGGTCTCTACCCATCCCTATTCCCAAGCCTGGACTAATGAGTTGTTATCTAATACATATTCCATTTGCTGCAAGCCATCTCTATTTCTAACTTTTAGCTGAGGGCTGCAGGATGCCTAACTCTTTGTTACTTTATCAGTTTTCTAACCACCAAGAATTGTTACAAGCTTTACATCTGCATATTCCCTGTGAATAAGCATTCTTGTTCTTGCCAAACTCCACAATTACAGGCTTCCCAATCTCCTTTCAAGTATATGCCATAACCTTGCTTTGTTTTGGCATCCAGCCCATCATTCCCCCTCTTTGAATCTGAAATTGATTTAATTTTCCAAGATTCACCCAACACCAAGATCCTAGTACTGAGAGACCCTGTAGTTTACTTATAGGCGGAAAGGCAAAGAGGAAGGCATTGAAATCCACAACAAGTGATTAAGAGAACAATGCCCACCAGGATCATTATTAACCAGCTGAAATCAGGTAACCAGCCAATGCCATCAGCCTTCTCATTCTTTCATGTGGGGTGGGGGGGTGCAGCTATCTTTGCTATGTGTGCAGCTCGATTTTGGATTTCCTGATTTGTCTGTAATATACACACAGCATTGTCCAATTAACACACAAACCTCTTTTGGATTCCAATATTTCTAGAGCCATTCTATTCTGAATTATTTGTCATATAGCTTCTTCTTGCTTTGTTTTTCATCTAGCTCATCATTCCATCTCTCTTTTTTCACTCAGATAATCAGAAAGATTTCATGGTGCATAAGGTTTGCATGATTGAATGAACATGAGATAAAATAAATATACTAAAGTTACACTTCTAAAATCACCTGGTATTGTTGAGTGATGTTCACTTTGTTCTAGTTTTGCATTTAAAAAATTCCTATGTTGCAATGAGCAAACCTTGTGTAACATAAATTTGTAGCAAGATCTTTTGGAAGACTGCTTGTTTTTATGGCACATTTTCTAGGTCCCATAAATTCTTAGATTTAAAAGGAGGGTGCCCTTTATTTCTAAATTGTGGTTAGGAATGGATCTCTATTCTTCTGATTATTTGTGATCTGATGGAAGCTGTTTCATTGGGATTATCTGTCAGATTCCCCATTTGTTTTGTTGTATCTTCAATTATTTTTGTCTGCTTATTTTTATGATTTTGCTTTTTTCCCTTTTTTTGATTTATTGTGTGTTTATATTGTGTACTGTATAAAGTCACACTGTTTGAGTTAGATGATCTTATAAATTCTGAAAATAAATAAAGGCAAAATGACAAAGTATTGCAAATCCCACCAATGCCACATAGAAGTGGACTAGAAACTGTATTATGGCCTCCTACACAGATTTATGGCCAAAAGCAACAGGATACCTAAAGAATAACTATAGAAAGGAAATACATATGCAGCATTTCTGAATAAGCCTGATGGTGTTGCAGACATGTCATGAACTAATTCAGGAAAATTACTTAATTAGCATTTAGGACAAAGTAAACACTGACAGGGGAAATGATTCTCTTCAGGATTGAGAATCTTCCCATTACCTTAAGTCACTTTCCACAATCAGAGATTTTGAAACTTCTACAGAAAGTTTTGCTGATAAAGGCCTTCAGCAGGGAAGAAAAAAAAATAGCTGCCCAAATTCTTTTTAAAATTACTATGATTTCTTGTATGCGTGTATTTCTGATCGCAGGAACTGGATCGATGGCATCTAGTGAGCTGGGACGACCTTTTCTCTCCTTTAAAGCTCTCGATGACACTGGTAAAGTCGCTAAGGTCACTAGCCAATGGCACGGTATTATTAGTGCAGTAATGTCGTTTTGGCGCCATTCCCTTAGGGTGCCTTTCTTGTGGGCAATGAGCTTTCTTTGCCTCGAGAGGAGACTGTGGGTCCTTAGGGCTTTTCCCTTCCGCAAAGCACCTTAATCTAGCGGCGTCCTCATAGGGCACATGATAAATAACCAAGCAGCTGAGGTGGCGGGAAGGGCCAGTAATTTCGGGGTTGCAGCCCGAGGGCTCTTTCCTGACTTTTTTGCCCTGGCAGGGGGCCCATCGCCATAGCTGAGGGTTTTGATCGGAAGCCTGTTCCTCCCTCCTTTCGCTTGTCTTCAGTTTTCCTTCGCCTTCCGCCCGCTCCTCCCATGGGGCTGCTAGAACCAGCCGGCTTCTCTCGCTGCCATGGCAACGGCTCCCGGTTTGTGTTTTCCTCAGTGTGAAGCAGCACTGAAGCGTGAGTTGCCGAGCCTTTCGGAGCCATGGCTTCCCCGGCCCTTCCGGAGGTTTCGCCGATTCTCCCGGTCCCCTCGTTCGGCGAGAAACAAAGGCATTTCTCCTCTTCCTCCAGGCTGGAGCACCCTTCGGACAGCAAGCTCAGCAACGGACTTGAGCAGGTGACAAAAAGGGGCAGCCATAGAGATTGAATTCCCTCTGCTTCTGCCCGGCTCTGGGACGTCTTTTTTAATTGCTTGGGCCATTAGCCAGGGCTGCCGGGGCCCTCGCGAAACGTCCTGTCAAATGCAAAAGGTGGCAGTCAAAAGTGCTCTTTTGTGAATTTTCTACTGCGTTTGTTGCGTTTGAAACTGCCTAAGGGATATTAAAATTTCCTTACAGTTGGAACAATTAATCAGTGGAACGACTTGCTTCCAGAAGTTGTGGGTGCTCCCCACACCTGGAGGATTTTAAGAAAAGGTTGGACAGCCGTTTGTCTGGAATGGTATAATTTTCTGCCTCCACTGGGGGTTGGACTAGAAGACTTCCAAGGACCCTTCCAACTCTGATATTCTGTTATTAACAATGGCTACCTCTTTCTCTCTCTTCTGGGATTGGTTCTGGTGAAAACACTATCCATGTTCTTCTCTGAGGGGACCCAAAGCAGACAATAAATAGTGGAAGAAAATTTAGGCAAGTGTAAATAAAAGTGTACTTTTATCTTGTTGGGTATGATTGCACTTATGCAGGGTATAAAAGCACAAAGGGGGCTTTAAAAACATAAACTAAAAGTAACAAGTCAGAATGGGCAGAATGACACACAAGCAGATTGAGGATCAATATTGATTTATTTGTGAGACAGAAACAACTACAGGTAATCCTTGACTTACAACTACAATTGAGTTCAAAATGTATGTTGCTAAGTGAAACATTTGTTTAGTGAGTTTTATCTCATTTTACAACTTTTCCTACTACTGTAGTTAAGTGAATCATTGCAGTTATTATGGTAGTAACATGGTTATTAAATGAATCTGGCTTCCCCATTGATTTTGCTTATCAGAAGGTCACATGACCCCAGAATAACTGCAATCGTCATAAATATGAACCAGAGGACTTCCTTCTAAGCAAAGACACCTTTTATTTTTTAAACACTGAGGCCATGTCTTAAGGTACTATAGCAT